GCCCGTCTCCTGCATGCGCATCGACCGCCCCGTGTGGCCTCGCCTCCCTGCCTGTACTGACCTGTATCCTGGCTGCCCATGCTCTGTCTCTGTCTCTGTCTCTGTCTCTCTTCCTCGGCGACCCATCAGCCTGCAAAAAAGGGACACGCCTGTGTGTGTGTGTGTGTGTGTGTGTGTGTGCCCGCGCGTGTGACCTTGGGCTACCGGCCTGCGACGCCTTCCCATCGCAAGAGGCGCTTGCGCTCATCTTCCCCACAAGACAACACGCCCCCTTTCCCCCGGAGAGTAACCCCGCAGTCAAGACCCCCCCCCCCCCCTGCCGTGCGTCACCGCGCCGGGCGCCAGGCCCCTTCCCCCTGTTCATTTCCAGTGTGGTGCTGACGCCCTGTGCCGCCCCGCTCCCACCCTCCTGGCCGACCCCACATCCGCACAGTGGATACACCAACCTCCCGGCAGCAAGAAGGAAGACCGAGACCCAAGCAGTATGTACCCGTCGCAGGGCCCGATCCCCGGCGGTCCACTGCCGGAGGGCAGCTCCGTTGGTGATCAGTTCAAGAAGAACGCCTCTTCGGCTGCTCGTATGTGCCATTTCCGCACCGCCACGGCTTCTTTGTGCTTCTTTTTTCCTTTTTTTTTCTTGCCGCACGCTCCCCCCTCCCTCCCCCCCCTCTCCCCGGCCACTTGGCGAGCCGATCGACCACTCACCTGCTCCTCTTGGTATGGCATCTCCTCGCGCGGCGACACCCCCGGACGCGTGATGCGCCGCACGCACGCACGCACGCACGCACGCAGCCCCCAACTACTTGCACATCCACCATGCCGATGCTCCCCCCGGTGGGATAGGCGAGCAGGCGCCCGGCAACCCCGACAGCAGTCAGTCGACCCCGGTGCTCCTCACGGCCCCCATCATTGCCAGCGCGCCCGGCGGCCAATACATGCACCTGGCGCAGCAGCAGCAGCAACAACAACAACAACAGCAGGGGGGCTTCTCGGCGCCGCTGCGCGATGCCACAACGCCCATCTCGCCGAACTTCAACGGCGCCAACACGGCCGGGGGCTTCTTCCATCCCCAAGGGCCGGTCGGAGGCCTGACCTCCCCGCGCGGAGGCCCCGGCGGCCTGGCCCTCGTGTCGCCGGCCACCGCCAACACCAATGCCCTGCACCATCCGGGCGGCGGCGGCGGCGGCGGCGGCGGCAGCGGCAACCCCGCCTCGCCCATCATCAGCATGGCTCCTCCCGGTGGGCACCCTCCCCAGGCCGCCACGGCTGCCATGCACCTGGGCGGACCGGGCAGCCTTTCCGCTGGTGACCACCATCATGCACAGCAGCAACAGCAACAGCAACAGCAGCAGCAGCAGCAGCAGCAGCAGCAGCAACATGCGGCTGCCGCCGCGGCCGAGGCCTTCCAGCAGGCGGCCGCTTTCGCCGCGGCCGGCGGTGGGCACCACCATCATGGCGCGCACAGCAACACAACGCCGGCCAGCCCGTTTGCCCAGCTGACGGGCCCGATGGGCGTCGGCCCCGGCGGTCCGGGTGGCGGCGCCAACGGAGACCAGCAGATGCTGCTGACCTCCTTCCAGGCGGGCACGGCCTCGGCCACCGCGTGCAAGGAATTCCTGGCCCTCTACAAGTCCAAGCAGCTGGACTTGGTCCGGCGCCAGCGCGAGGCCGCGGCGCCGGCCTCGCTGGCCATCGATGTGGTGGCCGACGAAACGTCCCTGCGCCCGGTGCCCGGGATCGAGGAGCGCCGCGCCCTGGCCATCGAATGGCACACGGTCCAGCGCCGGGCCGTCAAGTGGGCCCACCGGTTCTGCCCGGTGCCGGAGTGCGTGGAGCCGGTGGCCGCCCTGCATGAGCTGCCCAACCACATTGTCAATGCCCACGTCCGGTCGGACTTCCGCCGGTGCCTCTTCTGCTCGTACCAGCAGCGCGCGCCGGTGTCGCAGCAGCAGCAGGCCCAGCAGGCCGCGGCCCAGGCGTCGGACCGGCGCAACCGCGGCAGCCCCACCGGCGGTGGGAAGTCCTCCTCGTCGCGCCGCGGGGTGGCCGGGCTCGGCCCGCGCGCTGGCATCCCCCCGCCCCAGCGCCGCCGCGGGGTGGCAGCCGGCTCCGACGACGAGGATGACGACCTCGGCTCGGATGTCTCCGACTCGGAGGTCGACAGCCGCGAGTCCACCGCCTCGCCGCGCATGGACGCCGAGGCCGGCGCCTCCCGCATCAAGGTCGAGCAGCAGCCCGGCGGCGACAGCCAAATGTCCACCGGCGGCGGCGGCGGCGGCGGCAGCAGCACCAAGCCCGGCGATGGCGCCACCAAGCACCACCTGGTGGATCCGAAGAAGGCGGCCGAGGATGCGGCCGCCGCCGCCGAGGAGGCCGCCATCAAGGACGGCTCCCTGGCCCCGGGCAATGGCAAGCGCTTCAAGCTCCTGTCCCACTTGCAGCGCCACCTGGCCCCCTCCTTCCGGTGCCGGTGCGGCGCGGCCTTCTCCCAGCGCCAGGCCCTGATGCGGCACTATCGCGAACTCCGCTGCCCCATCCGCCAGCAGCAGCGCCGGCAGATCCAGCTGGAGCAGGCCCAGGCGGCCCACGCGGCGGCCAATGCCGCGGCCACCGTGGCCCTGGCCGGGGCCGCCGGTCCCTACCCGCCGCAGCTTCAGCAGCTTCTGGCCGCCGGCGGGGGGGCGCCCGCTGGTCCCGGGGCCGGTGGCCCGGGCGGCGCCCCGGGCCTGGCGAATGCCGGGCCGACGCCCATCGGCACGCCGCTCCTCGGGGCGGCCGGGCTGCTGAGCCCGGTGCCCGGCGGCCCGGCCCCCTCGCCGGGGCTCATGGCCGCCGTGGCCGCCGCCGCCGCCAGCGGCCACCCGGTCCTCGGGCTGATGCCCCTCTCGTCGCAGGGGAACTTCAAGGAGAGCATGATGCAGATGCAGAGCGCGGCCGCGGCCGCCGCCGCCGCCGCCGCCGCCGCCGCCGCCACCAACGGCCCCGGCGTGCCCCCCTCGCCCCTGCTGGCCATGCAGTCGCAGCAGCACCCCATGCCGCAGTTCGGCTCGTCGGCTTCGGCCTCCTCCGGGGGGCCCGGCCAGCCGCAGCCAGGCGAGCACTTCTTCCATGGCGGCCACTTCCAGCGGGCTGGCGACCCGGGCACCGGCGAGATGGCCATGCCGCCGCGGTCCTCCTCGCTGGACAGCCTGGCCGCCGGCAATCCGGCGCACCACCACCATCACCACTCGCAGCAGCAGCAGCAGCAGCAGCAGCAGCAGCCGCAGTATGGACAGCCAGGCGCACACCATCGGCCCATGATGGCCGAGCGGTCGCGCACCGGGGACATGGGCGATGTCGGCCCCAACCGGCCCCGGCCCGCTGGCGACGCCCGGCCGCACAGCTCGCTGGCCGCCCTGCCGGGCCAGCAGCCACCCATCGACGACCGGCACATGCAATTCTCCCAGCGGTCGTCGGCCTCCGGCAATGGGCCGGGCGACCCGTCGCGCTCGTCCTTCACGTCGCTCTGCTCCCCGGGCGAGGCGTCGTCCCCCTTCCACCGGGCCACCGGCGTCACCAAGGACGACCCCTCGGCCACCGGGGCCGGGTTCCGCCACGCGGCCGCCACCGACAGCCCCTTCGAGCCGCAGCACATGCACTTCCAATCGGGCCCCTCGTCGTCGCACCATGGCCCCCATCACCCGCACGGCGGCCACCACGCCTCCCACGGCGCCGGGTACCACCACCCGCATGGGGCTCACCACCCGCATGGGGGCCCCCACCACCACCAGCACCACCACCACCACCAGCAGCAGCAGCAGCAGCAACAGCAACAGCAGATGCACACCGGGCACTACTATGGCGCGCAGCAGCCGCCCTCGCCCGGGGCCGCCGGGCCCGGGACCGACCTCACGTACACGGACCCCGGCACGTACGGCGGCTCCGGCTCGGCGGCCGATCGCCACCTGTCGCCCCAGCTGCTGGACGCGGCGGCCGGCCAGCCGGCCAGCCCCCCGGGCTCCGGGTCCATGATGATGCAGAACCTCATGGCCACGGCCCCGTCGGCCCTGGAGACCGGCGGCGCCGGCGGCGGGGACTTCGACGATCCGCTGGACGGGGACTTCCGCGGGCTGCACGGCGCCAGCCGTGGGCATCGTGCCTTCTCCGGGGCCCGCCTGGGCCCGGGGATCTTCGCCTCGTCCAGCACCGGCATGCTTGCCGCCAATGGCGGCGCCGGTGGCCCCCCGCGGTCCAGCTCCCAGGGCGACCTGCGCGCGGTCTTCTCGCCAGATGGCAGTGGCGCCGGGCCCCCCCTGGTGGCCGGCGGCGGTGAGAAGGCCACTTCGCCCGGGGCCGGGGCCTGGTCGCGGGGCGGCCCGGCGGCCCCGGGCTTCGCCACGGTCGGCCGGTCCATGACCGGCCCGGCATACGTCTTCACCCCGGGCCCCGGTGCCGGCTCCCATGAGGGCAACATGTCGGCCGCCGGGGCCGGGTCGCCGGTGCCCTCGCCGGCGGCCCTGCTCGGCAGCGGGCAGCAACAGCAGCTGCCCGGCCCGGACGCCGGCTTCTACCCCGGCGGTGGCCAGGGCTTTGACGGGCCCCACGCGCCGGCCGCCAAGCCCGCCGGCCAGGTCACCCCCCTGCGCATGCGCCCCTCCATGTCGGCGGATCAGCTGTCGGCGGCCACCATCTCGGCCGCCGGGCCACCGCATCTCCATGCGGCCGTGCGGTCGCAATCGGGCGCGCTGCTGGCGGCCGGGCCCGGCTTCGGCGGGCCCCAGCCCTCCGGCGCCGGCAACAACAGCAGCACCCCCGGCACCCCGACCGCCGGGGTGTTCTACGGCCCGGGCGGGCTCCCGGCCGATGCGGCCTCCTCCGATGGCAGTGTCAGCCCGCCATCCTCGTCCTCCTCCACCGGCCTCGGTACGTGTCCTGCCGCGCGGCGCCCCGCCCGCGCGCCCGCCCATCGGCCTCGAATGCTAACACGCCAATCCCCCCCCCCCCCCCCCCCCCCCCCCCCCCCCCCCCCCCCCCCCCCCCCCCCCCCCCCCCCCCCCCCCCCCCCCCCCCCCCCCCCCCCCCCCGCGCACGCGCAGGCACCTCGGGCTCCATCTCCCTGGACAAGTCCTCCTCCGGTGCGCTGCAAACCCTCCTCAGCATGGCCACGAGCCAGTTCCTCAGCCAGCAAATGCGCGTGGCGCCGGGCAGGGCCGATGGCGAAGGCGTGGCCGCGGTCACGACCACCCACCTTCGCCACCTGCTGCTGCGCAGTGACAGAGTGTCTGAGAGCAACCATGTAGACGAGCGCCACTCCGCCGCACACTCCACCGGCCTGCTGGACCTGGTGGTGGTGGCGGCGAATGGCGCGGCCGGCGGTGCCGCCGGTCAGCAGCAGCAGCAGCAGCCGAAGCAGCACCTGCCGCGGCAGTCCCCCCAGGTGCCCCTGACCCGGCCTGGGCTCGACACACCGCCCCTGAGCCGTGTGCCCACGGCCGAGGCCCTGCCGGCGGCCGTGGTCCTGCCAGCCGCCAGCAACCCGGCCGACGCCACTGGCGACCTGCTTCTCGGGGCCCTGACGCCCACGTCGCAGAGTGTGTCGCCCCCCGGGTCGGACGGGCCGCTCTCGGACTTGGTGACCCTCATCCGGCCCCAGTGGGCCGGGGGCGGGGCTGCCGGCGGTGAGGCCGGCGCCGCGCAGCACCACCGCCACCATCACTCGCAGATGGGGGGGCCGGCCGCGTTCCAGCCGCAGCAGCAGCCGTGTCCCAGCAGCCCGGCGGCGGCACCCCTGTCCGCTCGCAACCTCGGCTTTGGCACCGCCGGGCCGGGCGGCTGGCACCCGGGGTCTCTTGCGAATGTGCAGCAGACGCAGTTTGTCCAGCAGATGCCCTTCTCAGCAGTCCCCCAGCCGCAGCGGCAGCAGCAGCAGCAGCAGCAGCAGCAGGTCCAGCTCGCCGCGCAGCAGACGCAGTTTGTCTCGCAGCCCGTGCAGCTCGTCCAGCAGCAGCAGCAGCAGCAGCAGCAGTCCTTTTCCCTCAGCCAGCAGCCGGCAGCTGCCTCGGCGATGCAGACGCAGCCCCAGGTTTCGGTTCCCCTGCTCCTGTCGCCGGCGGACCTGGCCCTGCTGAAGCCGTGTCTCATGGCGGCGGCGGCGGCGGCGGCGGCGGGGGCCACCGCGGCTGCCCCGGCGCGCGACCTGGCGACTTCGCCCCTGGTGGCGCATCTGGCCGTCTCGCCGGAGCTGGGCCTCCTGCGCCTTGGGGCCGCCGCCGCCGCCGCCGCCGCTCCCGGCATGGCCCCCCTCCCCCGAGGCGGCGGCTTTGTTGCCCTGCCTGGGGACATGTGAAATGCGGCCAGCGAGTCTGTCGGCTTTGTTTGCGTTCCGGCCCCCGGGGTGGTCCCGGGGCGCTAGAATGCGCACGCCCTCCCGGCATCCCCCCCCCCCGTCCCTCTGCCCCCCAGTGCTGTGTGCATGTGCGAGGAGCTCCCCCCCTCTGTCGGAGGAGGGGCGTGTCTGTGTATGTGTGTGTCAGTGTGTGCATGTGCATGCGCGTGCGCGAGCCAGGCAGATGGCGAGACCCAGAAAGAGGGGCCGCCACGTGTGTTCCCACCAGTTCCCCAAGGGGATGATGCGGCAGGTCCCTCGAGCGCGCGCGCGCGCTGCCCACATGTGCTCGCTTGCACAGGTGGGCGTTCCTTTTGTTTACATTCTGTCCTCCGCATACTGATGGAGGCGGAGGAGGCGAGAGCGAGAGACCATGCTCCGGTGGAGCGGGTGCTTCGCCCTCGGGTCCTCATTCTCCTCCTCCCTTGCCAGATGTGTGCTTGCCCATTAGAGACTAGTCCCAAGAGAGCGAAAGTGCATCGTGGTGCCGGCAGCCATTGGGCGCGCGCCCTGTATGTGTTTGCGTTTGCGTTTGCGTTTGCGTTTGTATTTATGCTTGTGCTTGTGCCTGTGCCTGTGCCTGTGCTTGTGTGTGTGTGTGTGTCTGCTGGAGCCCTGTCATGCCGCTCGAAGATGCCTGTCCCGGCCCCGCGGCAGGACCGCAGCCGGGGAGATAGGGCCGGCCGAAGAGGCCCCGGCAAAAGGGACCTTGGGCGGGAGACTAGACATGGGCCCGAGGGGAGCCACCGCTAGAGCTGCGCAGAGTGACAGAGAGAGAGAGGGGGGGGGGGGGAGGGGAGGGGGGAGGGGCGAGGACGGGGGGCATCATTCGGGCGAGGGCGCCGACAGAGCCGAGACGCGGGAACCCACCTGCCTTTCGGCCTGCCTCTCTCTCTCTCTCTCTCTTTCCCCCGCATGCGGGCTTTTGGCTTGGGGATGGCTCGCCGCACCTCCGGCGGCGAGCCCCCGCCCTGTTTCAGCGCGCACGCATCGCGCATCCCCACCCACGCGCATCCCCTTGACAGCGGGCACGCATGCCAAAAGGGCCCCTCCTGCTCCTGGACTGACGCCCC